TTTATCTGCAGTGTCATACAGGTGATCATTTACCTGTAGCAGTGCTTGAAATGTGGCTAGTAGGTAATTGGAGTGTGGCTCCCTGGTAGAACAATTGTGATGTATATTTAAGGCCCTGGGGTCATTCCCCAGGGACTACAACAAGAAAAGGAAAAGAAAAAGAAGTTAGTGTGACTGAGGAACTGGATTTCTTTTTAATTACCTAGTAGATTTTTTTGAGGGGGTGGAAAAGTCTGCATTTTTCCTAGATAATCTTACGCTTTTAACATTATTGAAATTGCTAACAATTTGCTATCAAGAAATCATAAAGTTGGGCTCAGTGGTAGGGCACTTGCTTAGCCATGTGAAGCACCAAGTTCGATCCTCAGCACCACATAAAATTAATTAAAGATATTGTGTCATCTATAATTTAAAAAAAAGGAAACCAAAGTCAATTAGAATCCTTTCCCATGTACCATTACTATTTTGAGAAATTGGTATTTTACAAGTACTGCTCTAGAAACAGTCCATGAAGTTATTATATAAATCTTCTAACAATTAAAATATGTCAACAACCAGGCATTAGAAAGCCATGCTGTTCTTCACATTGTACTGTGTAATGTAGTTTTATGTTATTATACCATAATTAGATTATTTCAGAAGAATATATGGAAAAGCCATGGTATCTTAAAACATGATACAGAGGAATTCATTGCCAGCTAAAACTCTCAAGACATCTCTAGTTGATTTTGAAAAGTCAGTGATAGTAAATATTAGTTTAGGGTTGGGGATATAGCTCTGTGGTAGAGCTCATAAGGCCCTGGATTTTATCCCCAACACCAAGATGGGGAAAGTTTTTTAAAATAAAAGAACATCTGCAGACACCTGAACAAGATTTTGTCTATGAAATAAACTCCAGTACCATCTATCTAATAATAAGGCATAGATATTTAAATTTTTATTTTGGTTATTTCTGTCCATTGTTAAACTTATGGAACTGAAAACATTTGCTAAAGAAGCAGTTAAAGCTCCAGCATCTTGCCACCTAAATGTTTTCCTTGATTCTTAGACATCACTTTAACTTTAGGAAGTAGAATCAGGAGCAAAGAAAGTGTAAGATACATTACATTCTGAAATTGTGTATAGCTGTGTCTTTCAGACGATTGCAGTAAGATGTGAGTTTTGGTCATTTAGAATGATACTTTAGACAGAAATATAGGTAGAAATTAGAAGTAATTCAGAACATGTATTTAATGAATTAAGGGCATTTTTGAGACATCTTACTTGAAAAGGCAGTAGATAGTACTCTTGCTGAAAGTTTGAATGTCCTCTCTTTTCAGGAGAGGTAATTAATGAAAAGGACCGCTGTAAAAAATGTGAAGGAAAGAAGGTGATTAAAGAAGTCAAGATTCTTGAAGTTCATGTAGACAAAGGCATGAAACATGGACAGAGAATTACATTCACTGGGGAAGCAGACCAGGCCCCAGGAGTGGAACCAGGAGACATTGTTCTTTTGCTACAGGAGAAAGAACATGAGGTAATTTCCTTTTTATTTAATTTTGTTTTTTTCAGAAATTGGTCTTGCTTAAGAAATATGATAGATCCCCAGAGTAACACTGAATATAGGTGAAGTTGTTTCAGTGAGCATGGCTTGCTTATGCAAGAACTGACCAACAAAGCAGGTACATTGTAGGAGTTACTATAGTTTCAGTCCCAACTTTTCCATAGACAAGCACTATAACCTTAAGTAATCCTGTTATCTTTTCACCTCAGTTTCCTTTTTATGAAAATAGGGCATTGGGTCAGATGATTTGAGGCAGCTTATTTTTCATTGTGAAACTCCTTTGATGAGTGAGTGGATAGGGTTTTACACACTGCGCTGATTTGTTTTACTCTACTTATTATGTAGCCAGATGAGTGTTCCTTGAAAGAACAGGTTGTGGAACTTGTCTAACAATATGGTCTAGTGTGTATTAATTTGATTATACCATTGTGCACATATGTATTCATACACACATGAACACATATGTATATATTTGGGGGTACGGGGGAAAAGAGGGTTTTAAAAAATTAAAATCAAGAATCCAATGGATTCTCTTTGATATACAGATGCTAAGTCACAATGGTGGAGTTAGACGAGAGGAGTAAAAGGAGAAGGGGGTAAGAGGATAAGAATCATAATAAAATGTATTGGACATTATTACCCTATGTACATATATGATTATATCATGTACAACCAGAAGAATGAGAAGTTACACTTCATATATGTATGATGTGTAGAATTGCATTCTACTTTCATGTATAACTAATTAGAACAAATAAAAAATTAAAAAATCCAAAGATAATAACATCAAGGCCATTACTGAGAAGCAGATTTCTGGGAATTTGTATTTCCTCACAAGATTGTGGCTCACTTCCCTGGACTATCATTTTTTAGGGTACACTGATTTTTGTTAGAGTTCATGCTTCAGTAAAACTGTAATTTACTATGTTTCAGCTCTTCCTGGATATGCCCAAACCTACAAATGATAAGCATCTTTTTTTTTTTTTAAGTTGTGGGTGGGACACGATATCCTTTTTGTTTATTTATTTAAGGACACATTATCTTTAGTTATTTATTATTATGTAGTGCTGAGTATCGAACCCAGTACCTCACATGTGCAAGGCAAGTGCTCTACAACTGAGCCACATTCCCAGCCCTATTTTGTATTTTATTTAGAGACAGGGTCTCCACTGAGTTCCTTAACTCCTCAATGAGGGTCTCACTGAGTTGATTAGCTCCTTGATGTTGCTAAGGCTGGCTTTGAACTGGTAATCCTCCTGTCTCATCCTCCCAAGCCTCTGGGATCACAGGTGTATGCCACCATACCTGGCATTTTAACTACTTCCTCATTTGTTTCCTCTTGCTTGCTGGACAACCATACAAAAACATCACCATACAAAGCATAAGATGTGGGAGGCTGATTGAGATGTTTAATAGTCTGCTTTTGTGTAGATGATATTGAATGATGGTACAAATATCCCCAGAATATTTTTATTGATAGAATCATTGGAGTAGTTTGAGATTATCAGATGATGTCTGGCAGTGCAGCAATATGAGAATAGTGAGAAAGTTAAGTAACAGTTACTTGGAGGAGAGGAGAAATAAATGATTGATGTTTTTCAGTTTAGGATTTGTCAAACTAATGGCAAAATCTTTTTATACTCAAGTTTTGCTATAATATTGCTTTATAATTAAATTTTAAAAGTAGATTGCTGGATTTGGAGACAAGGAACTTAAGTTCTGACCCCCATTTAGTTACCTGCATTGTCCTCCCCAGGCCTTGCTTACCAAAAACAAAGATAGTCTTCCCTCAGGAAGCATATTGTAGAGAATTGCATGAGATTATGAATAAGCTGCTTTCTTGAGAGTGTGAGAAAGTGTTTTAGAAATAAGAAACCTTAAAATTGTTGGCATCAGTAGAATTGCTTGGAATTTCCAACGGAAAGCAAAGTAACTGATTGTCTAAGGTAGGAAATAGAAGCTGGTAAAGATTGGAATGGAAATTCATCTAGTTCCTTCTTTATTATGACCAGTAAAGTAAAAGATTAGTTTTAGGAATCTTGGTTAGTTCATACAACTGAAAATATTTTGATCTCCTGAAGAAAGTAAGACATGGAGCTAACAGTTCAAGAAAACCTTTCCCACTTCTACTCCCATCACTTCCACTAAAGAAATTGGGGCCATAATGAAATGAAGATTGGTGCTATAGTTTAAACAACATAAATCTGATCAAAGGTCATTGGGAATGCTATCTCATGTGTGTTCAGATTCTTGCTATACTATGTGTGTGTGTGTGTGTGTGTGTATGTATGTTGTGGTCTGGCTACAAAAGTGCATTTGTACAGCATAGAAAAACAGTTTCTGAAGATGTTAGTCCCTTTGTAATCTTTCTAAGTATTATTTCTCAGAAACTGATAAGGTTTTTATGTGCTTTGCTGTTTAGTATTTATTAGGCCCTTATTCATTTTGCTTTTTAAAAATTTTCTGGCAACAAAAAAAAATTCGATGGCATTTTTGCTTATTTTTTGTGTTTGAACATTAGCATCAAATTGTCTTAATCGCAACATACTAAAAGAATAGCAGTGATTCTGTGTTTTCTTTTGTTGTTGTTTTTATTTTGTTTTGGCTTTCAGATAAGGTCTTGCCAAGTTATTGAGACTAGTTTCTAACTTAAGATCCCCCTACTTCAGCCTCCCTAGTCACTGGGATTATAGGCATGCACCACCACAATTCCTAGCTTTTGTTAGGAATACCTCATACTTTCCACTGGAGTTACTTTAAGTTGAACTCTACCACATAAGAACAGATATCTCTTCCTGCTCCCTATTTCTAATAAGCTATAACCAAAGAATTGTTGGCAAAAGGTGTTTCTTAGAATATTGGTATTTGGAAACACTGACATTTTAAGAACAATGTAGCATTTTAAAAGCATTGATTGAAAAGTTCTGCCTTATTGGTTAAAGAAGGCTTATTGGTTCCATTGTGAGAACCACTCAAGTAAATGTCATAGTTAATATACATTCATTGGTTCTCAGCATTGCTAAGAACCAATGAATGTATATTAACTATAAGCATTGCTTTAGAATCTCCTGAAAGGGTTATGAAAACTGTAGATTGCTAAGGCCCACCTATTATTTTCTAGCATTAGGTGTGGAATGGGGCCCAAGAATGTGTGTTCCCAACAAATTTCCTCCTGCTGTTGATTTTGAGGCTGCCCAACCAGAATCACCCTTAAGAGAATCACTGCTTAAGATAACAGTTTATTTCATGGGAAAATTTAGGAGAATATTTTAGGAAAAGAGCCTATCTTTTGGATAGAACCAGCCAAGATTGCTCTTTAGAAGAGAGCCTGTTATATTAAAAACAAACAACAACAACAACAACAAAAAAAGCTAGGTGACCTTTCACTGCAGTTAATTTTGTTTCATCTCAAATTTCAAAAGTTAAGTATAGATATGTGCAAATTCTCCCAAGTAAAAATTACATGTTAAATATATGTGAAATTGAATTTAGTTTTACTAAACATTGAAATCCTAGAGATATTCTTTGTATCTATTTGGTAACCTTTGTATTACCTAGTCCATAGGCTTATGGTATTGGTTTGAATAAGCCAACTTTATCATTTGTTTAATTAACATTCTTCTAAGTGGGTTTTCAATTTTAAATGAGATAAAATTTGTGCATATGTGAAGCACTGAATTGAGCCTCTTCACTTTAATGTCTGAGCCTGCCTGGTAAAGCTTTTTAGTGTTGATCTTAAACCTTCTTTGCTTGTTAGGATCAAATCTGGGGAGCATTCCAGATTGAGCCTGTTCAATAGAAGCCTGCTGGTCTTTCTGTACCTTTCTGCCCAGAGACAGAATTAGAAAGTAATTGGAAAATATACTTGGTTCTAGGTTTTGGTGCCTCGGCTCTGTTCTTGTGCCAATGTTTTCCTGGTTCATTGCCTTCCTAATACAAGTTTTTAGCATACTCCCTGGGAATTACTAGCTTTTCTAACATAAATTTAGGAAACTAGGGACAGTGACATGCAAGCTTTTAAAGCAGTGATACAGTTAAGATTTTGAAGATGATTGAAGGATGTAGTATAGGGTATGGATCTATAATTTTTTAAAGTGTTTTTTGTGTGCTTTATTTAAAGGTGTTCCAGAGAGATGGCAATGATTTGCACATGACATATAAGATAGGACTTGTTGAAGCTCTATGTGGGTTTCAGTTCACATTTAAGCACCTTGATGGACGTCAAATTGTGGTGAAATACCCTCCTGGCAAAGTAATTGAACCAGGTAAATCTTGATTTTATCTGGTATAGGTTTTGGGGGAAGAGACTGATTTGGTTTTGTAATGGTGATTGAACTCAGAGACACTTTACCACTGAGCCCTTTTCATTTTTTATTTTGAGGCAGGGTCTCACCAAGTTGCCTAGGGCCTTGGTAAGTTGCTAAGGCTGGCCTTAAACTTGCAATACTCCTTCCTCAGGCCCCGAGTTGCGGGGATCATAGATTTCTGCCACTGTGCCTAGCTTGTATATTCTTAAACATAATTTTTTCATAGTGGGTAACTCAAAGGAATGTTTCTACATACCTTTCTTTAAAGACAATAATAAAATAGCTTATTCCAGGAATACAGATTCAAGTTATTTTAAAAGATATCTTCCATTATGGAAGAGGTTACATGAATTTTTATAGTCATAGGGGAAAAAAAGAAAGCCATAAATCAGTATATTTACCAATTAGATTGATGGGAACATCAGGCGACAGGAAGGCAGAGAAATCTCTAGTTTTAGTTTTCCATGTACCTTTATTTATATTGTGGTGCTGAAATTGAACCCAGTGCTTCACACATGCTAGGTAAGCGCTCTACCACTGAACTACAATCCCAGACCCTCTTTTTTTTTTTTAAACAAGTACCAGATGTTATCTTATACAATTAGTAGAGTCTAGAGGTCTACTAAACTTAGGGATGCATTGTGAAAAGCTTATGTATTAGTTATGAGAATATTAGTTCAAATACAAAAGTTAAGATGAAAGGCTATTAAGAACATAGGACTGGGCTGGGGTTGTGGATCAGTAGTAGAGCACTCAACTAGCACATATGAGGCACTGGGGTTGATCCTCAGCACTATGTAAAAATAAATAAAATAACAGTATTGTGTTCAACTACATCTAAGAAAAAAAAATATTTAAAAAAAAAGCATAGGACAAGGGTGTGGCTCAGTGGTAGAACACCAGCCTAGCATTGCCAGTTTGATCCCCCACACCACAGAAGCAATTGGGGCATTGTTGATCAGCCAAGTTCAAGCAGTCTGCAGGATCTTTGATGTAGATACAGCTTCAAAGAACTTCACAATTTCCTCTTTACTTAAATAATAGGATGTGTTCGTGTAGTTCGAGGTGAAGGAATGCCACAGTATCGTAATCCCTTTGAAAAAGGTGATCTTTATATAAAGTTTGATGTGCAGTTTCCTGAAAACAACTGGATCAACCCAGATAAGCTTTCTGTAAGTGATCTTTAAATTTAGGCAACTCAAAGTTTCTTAATCATAGTACTTTGTCACCTTTAATTTTGTTTTGTTTTTGTTTTCTCCAATTTGCTTTTACTAAGATCAGGCAAATTTTTATTTTGTTAATATTGTGCTATTGATGGGTTTTCATAATGGATGTGAAAGCAAGGATTGCTGATGTAATTGTGGGGCCTAACAAAGGAATTATAAGAAAATAAAACAGACTGAGTCTGAGGTGGTGGTGGGAATCCTGGTAGCCTAGGGGAACACATTCCTCACCTGAAGAGGGCTGTGGTACAGGAAAGTATGTCTGCTGTGAAATTTTCCAGTGCTTAAATGTTAATAGCTAATTACATTTTTTTTTGTTGTTTTTAACTTAAGCAGTAGATGGGCTGCACAAAGGATATCTGCAGTTTGGGCCTGAGGGTCATTACTTTGTGATCTCTCAATTTATAGTGCAAACCAGTCACTTTGCTATTTTAACTCCCAAAGAAGTACATAGCTGGACTGTATTAAAGGGAAGTTGAAAACATTACAGTTAACCCATTTTTATTTATTCTAATGAAGGAACTAGAAGATCTTCTGCCATCTAGACCAGAAGTACCTAATGTAATTGGAGAAACAGAGGAGGTAGAGCTTCAGGAATTTGATAGCACTCGAGGCTCAGGAGGTGGTCAGAGGCGTGAAGCATATAATGATAGCTCTGATGAAGAAAGCAGCAGCCATCATGGACCTGGAGTACAGTGTGCCCATCAGTAACTCTGCAAACAAATTGCACAGGTGGATTTTCTTTCCACATTTGCCTGATTTGTTCTCAGCGAGCCAGCTGGAGTGTCTGATCAATCCAGATGAACTGATGGACATCTGTTGGTCTATGTGTAACTTTTAAAATTGGTATAGTATCTACAGAGTGTATAATTTAAACTAACCACAAAGCTTTACATCTTCATTTCGACTGTTCTGTAGCAGTTAAAGCACTTGAAAGGAAACAAGACTCCCTTTCACACATCGGTTATGAGTTTCAGTCTTTATCTGTGCTTGATTTTTATCAGTTTTGTGTAGATTTTATGTTTCATATTTTAAATTCAAATCCCACATTGTAAAGTTTGTACAATTTGTCCTGAAGCTTTGTGTTTGGCTGCACCTGCATAAGCTGCTACAAATAGAATAAAGAATTTCATAGCCTGTATCTATCATTTAGATGCATGGAAAATGGGCTTTGCACAAAATGGGTTTGGAGCTGACTGGGAACAATGGAAAAAATTACATTAGCAGTGGTTGTATAAGTTTTTTTGGGTCCCCCCCTTTCTTATCCCCCCTTTTTTTTTAACCATCTTATGGAAGGTTTCTGAAACTTGATAATAAAAAGCAGTTGGTGTAAATTATTCTTTGTGTCACATTTTTAGAAGGAAGAACACATTTTGAACTGCAAAATGCATCTTTAAACTGAAGAATGTATCCTTAGTTCTGGTTTTTAAACAGCCCTTAAAAACCCATTGGCTTGAAGCTTAGGCCTCAGGCACCTGCCCATTTTACAGTTGAGACAAAGGTTGGTAGAAACAGGCTTTATTGACTTCCAACTGATGCTTTGTAGAGTCAAGGACTTCTAAGTTATGTAATTCCTAAGTTATGATCCTGAACATTGGGGCTAGCCCAGGCCTCTGTATCTCCCTACCACCACCCTCTTTTAAAAATAAGGTAACGGCAAATCAATAATAGAACCATGTTTGCATAGAACCTGTTAAAATGCTCTGTTTTCATTAAATGTTAAGTTAAAAATATGCTCTGTCTCCATTAAGTTGAATATTTGAAATTGGGGGAAGCATTGACTATTTGATTTTCTATAATGTTTTATAGAAAAGAAAGACATAGGCTGATAAGAGAAAAATCAGGTAAAACAACTTTAAAAAGGATGTTGTATTCCTCTTCTTTCCATCTTTTCTATTCACTCCTAGAGTTGATAGAGAACATGCTTGAGGGAAAAGAAACATTTACATTTGTAAAGAAACAAGTGGGGAAACTGAAACTAAAATTTTAAAATGTATTTTGCCATCCCTGAGCCTAAATATAGCACTTGTAGTGTATTTCTAGATCTGTTAGAACCTGAGTGAAAAAGAAAAAGTGTCCTGACACTAATCAAGGCCTGTGAGGTTTAAATTATTGCCCTATCCACTCTACCTCCATTGTACAAAAAAATATTTTACAAGAAGCCTGGGCAAGATTCAACAGCATAGTAGTTTTGTATTCAGGGTTGCTTCCCCACAACACTAAACATAAGAAATGCAGTGGCAATATAAAGTTTGTAGCCTTTCCAATAAAGGTTTATAAAACAGTTGTTCAGTGTAGTCTTTCTTTCAGTTCTTCCATACCTCAGCTGTTTTGACTAGAACAAACAAAACTGTTTGGAAGAGGGGTAAACTTTAAGTTCACTCAGACTTGATCTGCTTAGTATTGCACCTGTCTTTAAAAACAGCAAAAAAAAAAGGTCACCAGTGGATTTTTCTGTAACACCTTTATTGAGAATTTACATATTGTAAAATGTACCTCATTTCAGTGGTTTTCCATATATCCATATTTACATAAACTAATTTTCCAAAGTTTCATCACTGCATTAGTAGTTACTGCAATCATTAATGACTAATTCTATTTCCAAATATTTGTATATTTGGACATTTTGTATAAATGGAGTCATAACAATACATGGCCTTTTGTGATGCATTTAGCATAGTGTTTTCAAGTTCTATTCGTGTGTGTGTGTGTAGCCTGCATCAATATTTAATTTTTATTACCAAATAATACTTCATTATGTAACTGTACTTATACATTTATCTACTGGTGGACATTCAGGTGTTACCTTGTGTTTTCCATTGGCTGCTTATATTGATGTGAAGTCTGTGAACATGTTTTCATTTAGTGAAACAAACGTGGTTCCCACTGTCTTCCATTTACTTAATAGTTCATTTCCAGTATACAACTGCTCCTGGATATCTAGTGGGATTACATCCTGATAAGCCCATTGTAAACTGAAAATATTGTAAGTAGGAAATATATTTAATATACCTAACCTAAATGTGCTCACATACTAAGCCTGTGTCTGAGCAAAATTATATAATACAAAGCCTTATAAAATGTTCAATATACCATGTACTTTATTGAATACACATCCAGAAAACACTGAACAACAGCACACTGTGGAGGAGGAGTAGTTCACTAGGGTATCATACGACAAATTGGTAGCCCAGAAAAATATCACAATTTAAAATTAGAAGTGTAGTTTCTACTGAATGTGCTGTTTTTTTAACACCATCATAGTTAGAACTTGTAGAGGAACCATTTTAAATCAGGGACAGGTTGTACATGTATAACAGTATCAGAATTTTCCCATCGGGTGGGAAGCAACTTTATCAACTAGAATACATTGAATGCTATGTATAGTTTTAATTTTTAACTTTACAGATTCTGTTTCAAAAGTTACTTAGGTCAGTATGCCCAGTTTCCACTCACTTCAATGTGGAATTGTTTCTATGTATTTGTAATAAAGTTAAGATTACAAAGTGGATCAATAACCAATACTTACATGTGTCTATCAAAAGACACTTTAAGTTTGCTTTCAGCTATAGCTAAGAAAAGGGCCTGAGAAAGTTTTTACCAGCAGTAGGTTGAGAATCCTCAATGATATATTTAACCATTCTGTATGAATAACCAATTCTTTCCTGTGATCTACAAGTAGCATATGAACTTTTTTGTTTGCATGGCACTCTGTGATCATTTAAAAATCAAACATTACAGAACTATGTAAATTGGAAAAATGAATGCCACACACTGCTACCTAATCTCATAAGACTATGGACACAAACAGTTGGTCTTTATTTTTGGTAAATTGGTCTTTTTTAAAAAATGCATATAGAATTCATCTTTCAACCTGTTCCCTTTCCCAATGGAATCACTTTAACTAGTTCCTTATATGTGTTATGCAAAATAAGATATAATCACTTATTTATAAGTTTTGGTCTTATTACTTTGACATTTGCATACTAATACATACAGATTTCTCCTTTAAGTGATCTTTTTTTCTCCATGGTATTAGGGATTGAACCCAGAGCCATGCACACTCTGGGCATGTGTGCTACCACTGAGCTGCATCCCCATTTTTTTAAAAAAATATTTTTAGTTGTAGATGGGCACAATGCCTTTATTTTATGTATTTTTATGTGGTGCTGAGGATCAAACCCATATGCTAGTCAAGAGCTCTACCACTGGGCTACAACCCCAGCTCCCCCAGCCCTTTTTTAATGATCTTCTGTTGTATGGCTGAACAACAAACTTCTATTGATAGACATTTTAATTATTTCCAGTTATTCCTTATAAACAATACATTTTCATAAACAGGTCTTTGTGCATAAAACCAGATTAGTTGGAGGCTGTGCTGTGGCTCAGTGGCAGAGCACTCACCTAGTGTATGCAAAGCACTGGGTTCAATTCTCAGTACCACATATTAATATGTAAATAAAATAAAGGTCCAACAACAACTAATAAAAATACTTAAAAAAAAAACCAGATTAGTCCAACCTTCTTGATTCCTGGGCTCACCAAATAAGCCTGTTAATATGGGTATCAGTGGCACAACAAATCAACATGATGACACCCCATCCCATTCTGTTCTCACCCCACTGGTTAGGAACATATGTCTTACAGCTGATTTTTTTTTAGGTTCTAGGTCCTCTCTGGCTAGACACTGGATGTCAATTAGGATACCCAGAATTATTATCCCAAACAACATTGAATCTGCTCTGTGTATCTCAATAGCCTAGAAATGTCCACTACCATGGCCCTAACTACAGGAATTTATGCTTTGAATGCCTCATTTTTTGCTGTCAAAGCAGATTCAACTGTCGGCCAGGCTCTTATAATAAGGCAAGAGTTCCAAGACTTTAAGGATAGAGAAGCAGTGTTCCACTGGCTGGATCTGCCATCATTCCTTTAAAAACCCTGGCTCCTTACCTTTAGGCTGGCTTCTATCTTGAAGACATCCCCAGAGGGTTGGGGGTTGTGGCAGTCATAGAGCTCTTGCCTAGCACTTGAGAGGCACTGGGTTCAATCTTCAGCGCCACATAAATAAAGTTATGGTGTCCATCTACAACTAAAAAATAGGCTGGGGATATAGCTCGGTTGGTAGAGTGCTTGCTTCACATGTACATAGGCCCTGAGTTCAAACCCCAGCACCACCAAAAAAAAAAAAAAAAAGAGTTTACAACTAAAAATATATATATACAAAAAGTCATCCCCAGAGTTTCCTTCTCTTTCCTCATATTTACTCAGAGAGGACCAATATAAGATTCTTCAAACTAATATTTGGTCAGTATGAAATCATCAGAATGCTTTTGCCAATGTACACGTGATGGATTAACATTCTGCTAACATCAGTTAATATATACTTAGACATCTAAGACGTGAGTTCAGTGAATAAAAATGCCAATCATAACAAAACAATGAGACACACCTGGAGAGTGAGTAATCTATAACACATTATCTTGTACCATTGAAAGTCTGAGGGTCTTGATTCATGGATAATCATGAGTCCAGAGATCTGCCTAAGAAAAGAGTATGCACAAAATAAATTATTTTATTTAAAAAGTAAAGCTGCAACACACAAGTTCCCTGGCATACACTACATCTTTCTTAACCTCTGGTATGTAAGTAGATCCACAGACAGAAAGAGCCTCTTGTGGTTCCATCCACATCGACTGAATCCCTGGCCCAGGTTAGTCATCTAACTTCCTCTTGTTTGCTTAAAGAGGACAAAAAAGGTAGATTATGCCAGGAGAGTTTGGGGCTCATCGTGATTGGATTTTGGGGGGCAATTTTATTTAATTCTTTTTTAATAACTATAATCTGGTTTTCCCCCAAAGCTAGGGGTCAGCAAATTATAACCCATAGGCCAAATCCACCCTACCAATTATTTTTGTAATGAAAAGCCCAGCCTACTGCCTATGTTTTTTACCTTTATCTTATTTATTTATTTTCCTGTGGTGCTGAGGATCAAACAAACCCAGGGCTAGGCAAGTGCGTAGGTCTACCGCTGAGCACAACCCCAGGCCCTACTGCCTATTTTTGTAATTGAAGTTCTAGTGGAATATAGTCATGCTTGTTATTTTCCCCTTTTGTGAGTGTGTGTGTGAGTGTGTTTGTGTGTGTGTGTTTCTGAGGATCAAATCAAGGGTTTCATGCATGCTAGTTTAGGGTCCTACCACTGAGCTATATCTCCAGCCCCGTTTACATATTTTCTATGTTGTTTTCATGCTATAAAAGTAAGGTTGATCAGTTGCAACAGAGACCATATTTGTTAGTCAGCTTTATGTTGCTGTGACAAAATCAACTATAAAAAAAGAAAGGTTTATTTTGGCTCATGGTTACATAGGTTTCAGTTCATGGTCATTTGTCTCTATCACTTTGGGCTATGATGAGGTAAAACATGGCAGGGAGCATATTCAAGGCAAAGCTGCTCCCTTCATAGCTGCTGGGAAGCAAAGATAGAGGAGGGGCCAAGGTCCCCTATATCCCCTTCAAGGGCATGCCCCCCAATGTCCTCACTTCCTTCCATTAAACACCGCCTCCTAGAAGTTCCCCCACCTTCCATTAGCACCACAGACTAGGGACTAATCCCTCACTACATGGTTTTAGGGAGACATTTAAGACCCAAAACATAACACAAAGTTTACAGTGTTTATTTTCTGGTTCTTTACAGGAAAATTTTTCCACTTCTGCTTTAGGGGACCTCAACCTTACCAACTCTCAGTCACTGTGAGTTTGAACTATCCTGCAATCCGTCAGCTAACAATTGGCTACCTCTCACTTGGCTACCAGTTGATATTACCTGACACAAAGGAAGCCCAGCCCAAATCACCCTTTCCCCTGGCATAGCTTAACACACAGGTCTAGAGCAATGGCTTTCCCAGGATAGATGCAGAAGAATTAGCTTACTTTGACCAGACAGCTCTAACTTGTTTTCTGTCAACAGGATCAAATGTATAAAAGGAGGCACTTCCCAGAAAATTCCGGGCTCTGGTCAACATCTGGGGATGCCTCATTTATACGTACACTGTCTGTGGAAAAGGCATATATACTTGGTGAGAGGGCAATAGTGCTGTGGACGAACAGGCTTAGCAAGGTGGAAGTTTTTACCTCCACATCTCAGGACTTGAACTGTGTCATAACAGCCAGCCGATATCATGGAATGATTTATACATACCAGGCTCAGCACTTAGTGTTTTACATGTTGCTTCATGTGAAATCCAGAACAACCCATAACCTAGAAATTATTTCTGCCCCAGTTTA